TTTTTTTTTTTTTTTTTTTTCTCTCAAGGGGCCCCTGTTCAAATTAGAACCTGGTCTATTTTGTCTTGGCAAGACGTGCAGTGCGGCCTTTAATATCAAGCTTCTTTTGAGAGTGTACTGGGAAAAATGGACCTGCAAAAATGTACCAGTCAATGGTCTAATATTGGCATATGAGGACGTCCCAGTGCATATCGTGGCCCAACTGCATAGAAGCTCCTGGATGTCACTTGACAATTTGTGGGGGATTTCGCTGCATTGGGAAAGGACTAGTGAATGCATACTCCTTTATGGTAAGATTTAAATCATTTTTTGTCTCCCTTGGTAACAAAGGTGAGAGTGAATGTCTTTTGGATCTTTTTGATTATGGTAAGCAATTGGAGTGTGCTTCGTTTCTCTCTTCCCACAGTAGTATTCCCATGGAATAGATGTATTCACAATATTGTGTTGTTTTAACATGTTTCCTCCGCAGCCTAACGACCTTTTCTACCCCCCGCCGCCACAGTTGCTAACTTGTCCCTTTGATCTGGCTGTTGTGGTGTGCAAAATCCTGTGTGGCCTCCATGTTTTGTTTTGCCACACTGCAACACTTTCACAGATGTGGAGGATGTGAAATTTGTCATCAATTATGACTACCCTAACTCCTCCGAGGATTATATCCACCGCATTGGACGCACAGCCCGCAGTCAAAAAACGGGCACAGCATACACCTTCTTCACCCCCAACAACATGAAACAAGCCAGTGACCTGATCTCTGTGCTCCGCGAGGCCAACCAGGCCATTAACCCCAAGCTGATCCAGATGGCAGAGGACAGAGGAGGTAACATCTGATAGATGTTGGCATTAATAAGCATGAATTATTTGCTCATTATTAGTAAAGAATATACAACCCCCAAGATTACCTTCCCACTAATAGAATAAATGAATGGGATGTATCTGTTGCAGTTTTCAAAGTGTAGCCTTCTCTTACCAGCTTTTCCAGGATTAGCTTCAATGTTGCTGCCATGTTGTTGTAGTTTCACTGTATTAATAGTCTGAACCCGCTCTCCCTTTCTTGTCTTCATCTCATCCAGGTCGTGGAAGGGGGGGAAGAGGTGGCTACAAGGATGACCGTCGCGATAGGTATGGGGGTGGGAGGAGTAATTTTGGCGGTGGTAGCTACAGGGATAGGGACAGCGATAGAGGGTTTGGCAGTGGGCCGAAGAGTACCTTCGGTGGCAGCAAGGCCCAAAACGGTGGCACCTATGGAGGTAACAGTGGTAACACTAGTGGCAGCTATGGCAACAGCAATTATAGCAACAGCAACGGACAGGGTAATTTCGGTAATCCGGCAAACCAGGTGGGTGCCTTTGGTAACCAAAGCTTTCAGGGCCCCCCTCAGTTCGGGGCCATGCAGAGGGCTGCTCAGAATGGCATGAACCACCCGCCATTCCCATTCAATTCTCAGCCCCCACCACCACAGGCCCAACAGGCACCACCCCCACCACCGATGATGCCCTACCCCATGCCGCCACCTTTTCCACAGTAGATATGATATACGCACAATATATGGGAACCAACATGATTTTTGTTTAGTCTTGAAATCTTACAGTATGACTAATATTATTATTA